GGAGAGATTCCTGAAGAATGGAAACAGGGTTATATCACTCCAGTTTTCAAAAAAGGCCAAAAGAAAGATGTTTCCAACTACAGAGGTATTACTGTTACCAGCTCGCTGAGTAGATTATACGGCCGGATAATTAAAAGCAGAATTGAAAATGATTTAAAGGAAGAGATCAGCGAGGAACAGGCGGGTTTTCGAGCTGGAAGATCATGCACTGATCACATTTTTAGTCTCTCACAACTTATAGAAAAGAGGATGGCCCACGACCGTGAACTCCATATGATATTTGTAGATTTACACAAGGCCTATGATTCAGTACCTCTAGCGAAATTGTGGAAAGCTTTGGAAGCCACATCTATTAAGAGATACCTCATCAGAGCAATTCAAGAGCTCTATAAAAATATAACGGGGGCTATAAAAATTGGAGATAGAGTGTCTAGAAGCTTCTTCATTAACAAAGGATTGAAACAGGGCTGCTGCCTTTCACCCCTGATTTTCAACATTTATATAGAACAAGCCCTTAAAAACTGGAAAAGATCGTGCTGTGGAATGGGTGTTCAAATCGGGAATGATGTCATCTACAATTTGCAGTATGCCGATGACCAAGTCATAATCGCATCGGATCCGGATGATGTTAGCTATATGATGAGGAAGTTGCTGGACACGTATTCCAGATGGGGTCTGAAAATCAGTGAAAGTAAAACAGAGTATATGGTTTTTAACGCTCCAAATTTGCCTCTTGAAATTGATGACTGGAGGCTAAATGTCAGCCAACAGTTCAAGTACCTCGGATACTGGTTATCTTCAAAGGGTGGTAGTGAGGTTGATATCGAACATAAAATAAATAATGGGAAAAGAATAATAAGTTCGATAAATTCAACCCTATGGAGGAAAGAACTAAGATTAGAAACTAAAAAAAAGATATACCATTCCTTTGTAGAAAGCGTAGCCACTTACGGATCAGAAGTCTGGACACTGACAAAAAAGATGGAAAATAAGTTGCTTTCCATGGAAATGGATTTCTGGAGAAGAAGCTGTGGCATATCCAGAATCGAGCGGATCCCAAACGCAGCAATTAGAGACAAGGTCGGATGTCAAAAGAACATCCTTCACCTGATCGGGACCAAACGGTTAAAGTGGTATGGCCACTTAATGCGGATGGATGAGAACCGCTGGCCAAAGAAAATTTATAACTATGTGCCACCTGAAAGAAGGAAGCGTGGAAGGCCAAAGAAGAAATGGATAGAGGACGTGGAGGAAAGCATGGCAGCCAGAGGGCTTCGTGAGGGAGATTGGATGGACAGAGAGCAGTGGCTTTTGGGTATTGGGGATATGACTCCTTGAGTTGTATAAAACCCAAATAAAAAAAAAAAATATATATATATATATATATATATATATATATATATTTACATATCTCGTATACGAGATGTACGATCTGCACCTCTCAGTTTGCTCCGCTCTGTCAGATGTCCGCAGTAATTTGATGGGATCAGCACAAATTCAAACAAAGGAATCATGGCGGAGTTGTATTGGGCTACCAGGAGCCGAATGGCCTAATAGCCAACGGCAGAAGGGTTTAATTAATATATATATATATATATATATATATATATATATATATATATATATATATATATATATATATATATATATGTATGTATGACAATGTATGTTTTTTTTGCAATAAAGTTGAAGTTAATTATATTAACTGATTAAAGAAAATACAAACAGTCTATTCGGGTTCGATTCTAGTTGCCTGTGTTTTACATGAAGGCATGATCCTCCCAGCTACAGGTGGTTGGAATCAGAGCTTTTGGTAAAGGTTCAGATTGATTCTGAGCATAGTTTAATGCGACACATTAATCATCAACTACCTTACGTGATTCCTAGGATGCGTATAACGTTAGTACCACAATATAATCCACTTTGGAGACTTCCAATGACTCTGAACAACTAGTGTGAGATGCTCAAGTTATTCCGCAGCCAAGCTCGGCTTTTACGGGAAAATCAAGAGTTTTCTGCCTTGAGTGATGGCTCACAGTAACACGAGGACCCAGTTCTTACCAGCCAGCCAGCATCCCTTCTTTAAATTTCTGTTTTGATCTTCCTTTAATTCGTTGGTTCGTTCAATAAAAAGCTACATACAAAAAAATAAATATTTATTAAATAAAAACATTTTGTTAAAAAAAAATTAGAAAATGAAAACATATCGCTGAATGCACATGCAATAATATAGAAAAAAAATAATGCAATAATGCAAAAAAATTGCATTACAATTATTAAAAATGCACACGAATTACTAAATTACAATAACTGTAATTTTGTGAGAGCTCACTATACTTTGCATGCAGGCCACGAATAATAACTAGTATTCATTAACTAGTGAACATAAAAAAATATGTAGCTTGTTAAAAAATTGTGCTAGCACTAAAAAACAACAGTGGCTAAATTCGATCTCTCGATCCAAAGAGGTTGTACTAGCTTACGAATGGTATAAGCTAAGTTGTCTTGGATGTCGTGGCTCTGCAAGAGGTTCGCTGACCAGGGGAGGGCTCGATGAGGGAAGGAAAGTACACTATTTGGTACGGAGGAAGCGGGAATCATTGTTTAGGTGCCGGGTTCCTAATTAGGAGTAGATTACTATCCGCTTCGAGGAACGTACAATTCTTTAGTGATAGAATTTCGGTAGCTATATTTCAGGGACGTTAGTTTAAAATCGCATTAATAAACATACATTGTCCGACCGAAGACAGTGACGATGAAGTCAAAAGTGAATTTTACGATAAACTCGAATGGGTTTATGATAAACTACCGCGAAACTACATGAAAATAATTATAGGTGACGCGAACGCAAAGGTAGGAAGGGAAGAAGTTTATATTCCGACGATTGGTAAAGAAAGCTTGCACGAATATAGTAATGATAATGGGATCCGTCTAATAAACTTTGCCATCTCGAAAAACCTGATAATTAAAAGTACGACGTTTAAACATAAGGATATTCATAAATATACTTGGACATCGCCGAATTCGCAAACACGAAATCAAATCGATCATGTCTTGATACAACACAGCTGGCAAAGCAATATAATTAATGTACGGTCTTATCGCGGAGCAGAATGTGGGTCGGATCATGAATTAGTAATCGCGAAACTTCGACAAAAACTTAATATAAAAAAGAGAAAAGAAAACCGTTTCGATTTTGAGAATTTTAATTTGGAAAAATTAAAAAATCCATCAATTAGAAACCAATTCGAGCTAGATGTTAAGAATAGGTTTGAAGTTTTAGAGATTCCTGACGAGGACCACGAGGATATTGACAAGTTATGGGTAGAGATCAGGGATAATATTAAAGCGGTCGGTAACTCCTGTCTAGGAAAAAAGGAAAATAAGAATAACAAACCGTGGTTTGATGAAGATTGCTTAAACATGTGCGAAAAAAGAAAAGCAGCGAAATTAAAAGCTCTAAATAATCCTAGCGAAGACAATCTGGAATACTTCCGAACCTTAAAGAACGAAACGACAAAATTGCTCAAAAATAAAAAAAGGGAGTATCTTAAAAATAAAATAATTGAAATAGAAACTAATAGAATCGAAAATAACGTAAAAGACATGTACAAAGGTATAAACAGATCACGTAAATGTGTAGGGCCTGTAACGTCTGGAATTAGGGATGATAATAACAATATTCTGACCGATCCGGTTGACATTTTGAATAAGTTTAAGGACCACTTTGACAATATTTTAAATACGGGAAATTATGCTCTGTGTCCTCCTTCTGAGTACCAGAGTGCTGAACCGTTAATAGAAGGACCAAGTAAAGAGGAAATTGAAGTAGCTATCGGAAAATTAAAATCATATAAGTTAGCGGGAACCGATAATATTCCTACTGAACTAATTAAGGCATGCGGGGAAGCTGGAGTTTCTAAAATACATCGGTTGGTTAAAAGGATCTGGGTGAACGATAAATTACCTGAAGAATGGAAAGAATCTATTTTTATTCCGATTCACAAAAAGGGTCCGAGTACGGATTGTAATAACTATCGAGGAATTTCACTCCTTCCGGTATGTTATAAAATATTCACTTTAATGTTAACCAGTCGAATCACGGAATACGCCGAGGAAATTATCGGAGACTACCAATGCGGATTTAGACGGAATCGTTCAACTATTGATCAAATATTTTCTTTACGGCAAATATTAGAGAAAAAATTGGAGTAAAACGGTATTGTTCACCAGCTGTATATAGATTTTAAAAAGGCTTACGATTCTATTGACCGCCAGAAACTGTATAATATTCTAATCGAGCAGGGGATTTCAAAAAAACTAGTAAATCTAGTCAGGATGTGCTTGACGGAGACACTCAATAAAGTTAGAATCGGTAATAATTTGTCCGAAAAATTTGAGGTTCGTTCAGGCTTAAAACAGGGGAATTCTCTTTCGCCTGTCCTGTTCAATTTGGCATTAGAACTTGTCATTAGGGAGGTAATGCGTACCGAGAAAGGGTTGGATCTGGGTGGAACAACATCCGTGCTGGGCTATGCTGATGATCTGGTACTGTTAAGCGAAGATGTGGAAACTATAAAACTAAATACAACGTTAATGAAAGCCGGTAAAGAACTAGGACTCGAAATAAACGTGGATAAAACAAAATATATGGTTAATTGAAGTAATTTCATCGCGGCGAATCAAATGGGCTTGTAAAGTTGCTGGGCTTAGTAAAGAGAGAATTCCTAAAAGGTTAATATTTGCTGTGCCGGATGGTAAGCGTCCGAGGGGTAGACCGAAGCGAAGGTGGGAAGATTGCATTAAAGCCGATCTGAAGGGACTGGGTTTGGACGGCGAACGGTGGAGGGAGGTGTGTAACAAGCGATTTATGATTAATCGGTAACATTATGATTCGTTTATTAATATTAAGAAAATTATTGTCAATATTTTGATTTTAGTTAAAGTGGAAATAAGCTCCTCACTGTTTTTCATGGTATACCTCTCTGGATTCTTATTTAGAAAAGACCCGTCATTTTAAATATTAGTTTGGGGTCTTTAATGTATTAGCCTAATTCAAATGATTTCCATAGATATTGTAAAACTTATATGTATATGTAATATATAAACTTGCTATTCCAAATATTTTTTGTATGTATTATAATTTTTCAGTTGATTAATTTATTACAATCAGCAATTAGAAAATTGAAGTTTTGAACTAGATCTTCTGTATGACTCAAGTTGGTTCTATCTTTTAATTAATAATGGCTTCAGAGGATACAATATATCATATTTTAGATATGACATCTACATATAAGGAAAAAGAACTGTTGGTTAAAGCCATTGAGTTAATACCTGTTTCTAAAATATGGTCAAATACTTGTGCATTATTTAGAGAAAATCAATTATGTCCCAATAAATTTTACATGGAGGAGTCAGTACTACTTGAAAAATTGTTTCTGGAGAATTTCATATCATGGTTTAAAAATGATTTTTTCAAATGGTATGAACCTAATTGTAAGGAGTGTGGCAAACACTGCGAGATGGTCTGGTATGGCTCAATTTCTCCAGGAAAATCTATTGGAAAGACAGAGGTTAATAATAAAATATTTTATCTTTATGTTTTTAGTTTTTCCCCAGTTATTGAGAGTATAGGGTTATTTAGTGGATATGCATTACTCTTTCTGTTGTGCATACGTTTTTCATTTTTTAAATATGTTTCGAGGAAATCTAATTTTATTTTCTAATATTTCCATATATTTGTGATTTGTTTTTCTTTACTTAAAAAGAGATGTATCAATGTCAATAGAAAATGTATTTACCTTGATATCTCTATTTTTAATCATTAATGATTTGTATCTACAAAAACATATTCACTTTTTTTATAAAGAATAAAAAATAAATATGCTTTAGATTTTAATAGCCTTAGGCTGCTGAAAAGTAAAAAAATAAATAAAATTATGTAGGTACTTGCCTTACATAAATTAGGACCAACAATTTTATTAACTGTAAAACAAGTACGGCCTTGTTTTCAGTTTTCCAAAAAAAAAAAAAGGAATTTAAGGAAATCAAAAAATAAAATTTATTAGCCCCAAATTGTTACTTTGATTTATTTCGAATTTGATCATAATTTTTTTGAGCAATTATGAAAATCTTTCTTATCTCCTAAAGAACTTTAATCAATCATCATTACATTTTTTTGTTCCAAAAAGATTTTAAAGCATAATTAAATCGAACTCTACTATTCCAATTTAAATTTTCAGTTTCTGATGATGCCAATAAAGTATACGTTTTAAGATAAAATTAAATAAATAGAATAAATGAAACAATCATAAATGCATTTTCTTATATCTGTAATTCAAATTAATCTGGTAAAGTCAAAATTTTTCCATTTGTATATTTTAACTACTTTTTTGCATGATAATGTCCTGAATAGCCGAGGCTTGGCTTATTATTTAATGTCCAGCCAATGCTACAGCTGCCTATAATCTATTAGTAACTAGAACATTTATGTGCTAATTTTATAATGAGTTTTATTTTACATTTAGTGGAGTTGTTGGTATTAAAAATTAGAACTAAAATAAATAATCTATTTAGTTATAATTTAATTAATTATCATTAATGCATTTCCTTTTTGTGCTAATTTCACAATATTAATTCACAGGTTTATGAATGTAATAATTGCCAAACTATGTTTAATTTTGAAAGGTTTAATGACCCATACATACTCCTCAAAACCCGCCAAGGGAGATGTTCTGAATTCTCTCAAGTGTTCACTGTGATGTGTTTTGCTGTAGGATATGAAGCAAGATTTATTTATGACACCAATGACCATGCCTGGACAGAAGTAAGTTTCTTTTTCAATTTATTTTTGTCTTAAAAAAACTTAATGAATAGTCATTATAAGTACTGTTGTCACTGATAAAGAATGGTACCTATACATTATTTTGATCAAGCCAGTGTCATTCTGAGAAAAATCAATACAATTATGAAACTTATAATTTATATAAGTATTATATAAATTTAATTTAAATAATAAATCAGCTTGATGTCTTTATGAAAACTGATTCAGTCAGTCATGTTTATGATTTATGGAGGTGGTAAATTTTATATTAGTCTTGATAACCAAAATATTTGTTGTTTAGCCAAATAGCTATTTTTGGTTTAACATTGGGGTCCCCAAACTACGGCCGCTAAAGTGTGTTTGATTATATGATAAAATTTAAAAAATATTATGATCAGCAAATTATTCACACGAGGTTACTATAAAATGTATTCCATAGGTTTGTGTCTGTTAAAATGCTTATTTCACAGCTGAAGTGACATGTATGGAACATTTTTTTATTCATCACAAGCCATTGCTCGGGTGACTTGGATGGAGGTCTCAGTGCGGCCTGTGGGACTTTTTGGAGGTCTCAATGAGGCCCGTGGGTCAAAACGTTTGGAGACCACTGGTTTAACATATGATTATTAGCTTTGACTTATGATAGATGTGCGAGACATGAACAAAGCAGCCATCCCTACCTTCTATCTGACTGATAGTATTTAAAACGTATATACTGAATTGAAGACCTGTCATATAAGCTCAGAATCATAAAAGGCAAACCACCGACTTAGTACCAACACCACAAATGAAAATAAATTCATCACCATGGAATAGAAGTTCTCTCTATCTCACAATATTGGCTTAGTAACAAATTATTTTTGACAATCCTGAAAAATATTGTGAAAAATTGAAAATTGTGAAAGATAAATTAATTGTAGCATAATTTAAAAACCTGAAATGAATTATTTCAACAAAATAGGAAATAAAAGCCTTTATTTAATCCTCAGAATGGTGCAATAAGCTGAGAGCTTTGGAAAGTGCTATCTTTCCAAGGCTCAGCAATCTTATTTATATTGTATGCAATATATCCATTAACTTCAACACATTTCTCCCAACATCTAACTCATCCAGGTTTTTTTTTTATCCACTGCTCAAAAAATGTATTGGCTTTGAATCAATAAATACAAAAAATGGAAGCCAATTTTGAGACAACTCAGGTAAACATGATGAGTGTATTTGAACTTAACATTTCAGATCCACGTACTGTAACTTGTTTGTCATTCAACTTTTAAAATATTACATGATCTGAAAATATAAGTTCTATCACTGCATTCACCTGACTTACAACTGGCTACCATTTTTTCAGTGTTCCTGACGCATTTTTCAAATAAAAAATATTTTATATTGAATACTTGATGGTTTATCATGGATATTATCTAGTGAGAAAATGGTCCGAAGTGGCGTTCATAAAAAGAATAAAATTGTGGAAATACTATTTTATTTCAAGCCGATGTTTCGACCCAACTTTGCTTCAGGGCTAGAATGAACAAGATACAAAAAGATATAGAAAATTGTAGAAGTTACATAATATTTAGATAAAAATTATAAACAATGTGAATAAACTTATTAAAATTATAATCAGTGCCAATAGAAAGTAGAAATATTAATAACAATAAACTAAATAAACAAAGTATAACTAAGTAACAAGATCCTAAACCGAATTAAATAAATGGTAACAATTGTTGTAGATTATTGTAGTTGGGGAAAAATTGAATGTAATAAGGAGGATGGATAATATACCTAATTATGAATATAATCATACAGATCATAATTGAGAGAAAAAACAAAAATAATAAGAAATAATCAACATAAAGGGAGTGTGAAGAAAACGAAAAAATAAAAGAAAAAAATTAAAATAGAGGCTTACGGGTGTATGCAGCATGGAGTTTGGGTTGAAACTGGAGAAACATATACATGGGGAGAAAATCCATGATGAAAATTGTTGACCTAGTTGGGGGATGGTGGGAAGGGTGAGGGTTAAGTAGTAAAAAAAAAAACCAAAAACCAGGAATATTATAGCATCTAAAATTTGAAGATATTGATGGATACAAGAAAAAATACAATATCTATGTAATTAATTATAGATAAAAGTACAATGTAAATAAACAACGAACAATATACAAAAGGATATAGAAAATTGTGAAAGTTACATAATATTTAGATAAAAATTATAAACAATTTGAATAAACTTATTAAAACTTAAACAGTATGAATAGAAAGTACATAAAAATATTAATAACAATAAACTATATAAAAAAAGTAAACAAAGTATACCTAAGTAACTAGATCCTTCAGTCTGATATCAACGTGTCATCCTGAGTATCAAGTCAGGGTTAAGAATGTGTTTTAGCATTGGCAAATCGGTTGGGTCACGAGGGGAGAGTGTGTAAGTCAATTGATCTGATAGGAGTTGTACTTTGTATGAATATTCGATCTTTTCCATAATAACTGTCGAATTTCCTTTCTCAGCCTTAGTAATTATAGGGTAGTCGTTAGTTTTAAGAAAAGCCTTTCTTAACCCTGACAGCATCCCTCAAATCCTTTCCTCATTTAACTCTTACCACCCCCATTTTCGTTTAACTGTTGAAAAAGAAACTAATAATTCACTCCCATTTTTAGACCTCCTAATTATCAGAAACATTGATGGTTCTATTTCTACTGACTGGTATTCTAAACCCATGTACTCAGGCAGACTACTTAACTTTTACTCTCAACATCCATACCACCAAAAACCTAATTCACTAATCTCTCTCTTTATCTGATCCACAATACCACCAAACCAATATTCAGCGTGTCAAAAATGTACTCCTTTCCCATAATTTCTCTCTCAACACTATACTTAAAATTTTAAACATCTACATAACCAAAAACAGTACAACCTCTTCTTCTCTTAACTCTCAACAATCACCTACCACCCTTTTCGTATACTAATCTCTCTACTACATTCCTATTCTATCAGATAATATACAAAAATTCCTACTATTAACAATTTATGTCTTGAGCTTAAGTCCCTCACAAACTCTCTTTCGTTTCCACCAACTTGAAGTGAAAGTAGTCTACCGAATATCTTTTTCTTCTCCTAATTGCAATAGTTCCTACATTGGTGAAACTAAAAACCATCTTGAAACCAGTATTTCCCAACATAAAACATCTATAACTTTCCACCTCCAAACTATCAGAACATGCTTTGACCCTCAACCAATCATTTGATTTTGAAAAAAATCTCCATTCTTGTTACGGTCCCTAACCATGGAAAAAGATCCATTTCCGAATCCATCCATATCCACATGGAACATAATGCCGCTAATCGTAAAGTGGATAATAACTGCATTTATTTAACATATATACACATCACAAATCTAATAAATCAAAAATAGCTTATATTTTTCTTGTTTATTTATTTATTTTTTAGCTATTTTCAGCTTTTTATTAATTAATTAAATAGTTCTTTATTTTTTAAGTATTTCCGTATTGTATGATCTATTATTTCATTTTTATTTTTATATTTTCATTCTACATCTATGTATGATCATACGTTTTTATTTTGTATTTATTGTACTTTTATCTATAATTTATAAATTTTATCTTGTATTTAAATGTAATTTTCTTACAATACATACAACTAATTCTAATTCTAATTATTTATATTAGTTTCTTTTTTATACTTTTAACATTAGTTCTGCAATGTATGGTCTCTCAGTTTTATTTTTATATTTACACTTTACTTCTACATATGGTCTTTCATTTTTTTTTTTTTTTTGCATTGTACTTTTATCTATAATTTCTTAATTCTATCTTGTATAAATATGTATATATTTATAATTAATTAGTTCATAGATAATAAATTTTTTCTTGTATCTGTAAATATCTTCAAATCTGTCATACTGTAATATTCCTGTTTTTTTTTTTCTGTTTTTAATATTTATCTCCCCCCCCCTCCACCCACCACTCCCAACCAATTCAACAATTTTCCCCATGGGTTTTCTCCCCGTGTATATGTTTCCTTAGTTTCAACCTAAACTCCATGCTGCATATACCAGTATGTCTCTATTTTAATTTTTTTCCTTCGAATAAAGGACAAAAAACATTGGTGTTGGGGAAATACATAGGGGCTAATGAAATTTTTAGAAAATGAAATCAATAAAAATAATGTCTATTAACACTTAAGTGTTCTTAACTTACCTCAAAGGTCAGTATAATAAATATCAAAATTAACTTTTGATAATTATTTATTGTACTAATTAAATTATTTATTGTAAAAATTAATGTTGAATTTTCCATTGATATATATATATATATATATATATATATATATATATATATATATATATATATATATATATATATATACATATATATATATAGGTCTATATAGATATTTGTTTATGAAATAATTTGTATTGATTACAATTAGTAGAAACTGGATTTCCATATCCATTCCACAATCTGTTGAATAACATGTTGAAATTTGATGTGGCATGAAATCACACATTTTGGCCTTTTCAGACTAAATTTTGATGCATGAAATTGAATATTTTGTTCTTTTAGGAGTAAATTTCTGTTTTAATAGCATAAAACAAAATTTTGTTGAAAATATAAAATTACTTTTCAAGTATATAAATTTTGTTGTACATATACTACAGTGCCGGCTTAAGGGCGGGGCGCCGACCTGGAGAAGTGCATATTGGGGACACCGGCCGATCTTCAGGGGTGCTCGCCACTTGTAAGAAATAAAAATAGTTACAAAATGTATTAAAATAATCAATTTCAGCCCACCATTAATGCAACTGTAGTAGAAAACTATTTGAATGTGATAAAATTCAATATTACATAATATAAAACAGCTTAAAAAATACATTTTTTTTTAGGGAGGGGGGAGATGATGTCATTGCCCGGGGGCACCGAATGTCTAAGGCCGGTACTGATATACTATAATAATTTGGGGTAACATATTAAGTTTATTTAAACTTTTGATTTAATGTAGCTATATAAAATCAAAGCTTCTTCACAGTTGAGTTATTAGCAGTTTAAAAACATATATATGAATTGTATTTTTAAAATAATATGTATTTATTTATTATCTTTAAAACAAACAAGTCCTATTGCCCCTTGGGCAAAAGTTCTTTCATAAAACACTGTCAGATTATTTTTATTTTGGTTCACCTTGTCATTGGTCACAATCATTTCAGGTGTATAGAATGTGTCTGTTTATGTTGATGATTTATTATGTCAAGTAAAATCAAAAGAAAATTAGTTGCTAAATGGAAAAAAAAGTTGTTTAGCTATTTAAGATATAACATTTGGTGTAGTCCTCGTGGTTTTTTGCTAGTAAGCAGCGTTTCCATAGCTCCTTTTTATATTCTTATTCCACCAGGCTGTTGTTTTTAGTCTCAGGCCTACTTTAGTTTTCTCGCAAACCTTCTCTGTGTTCAATATCTGTTTTATTGCAATCCAGCTTTTCTCTATGTCTTCAGAATTCCAGAGGTATTCATTATTAGCCACATTTTCTTCTACTGCTGTTTTATATGATTCAGTCAATTCTTCTGATTTATGCTTGTAGCTGTTTATCTTAAATAATTTAGTGGGACCTGGTCTTTTCCTCCTTAGTGATGGGTTGTCCAGAACCATTTCCATTGTCAGTAACATATGGTTTGTCTCCAGTTTGGCTTCTCTCTCGACTCTAACGTCTTCTTTTTCGTTCCTCATTTGGGATCAGAAAGTAAGCTATGATTCATATGTGCTTGTTTTAGGTGAATTTTTTTTTTAATATTATAAAATAAGGCTGTGTTTTATTTCTTCACCATATTTATTTCAAATTACATAGCTACGTTTCGGCCGGTAAGCCATCTATAAGATAAACACCATTAATTTTATATTTTGATGCAATTATACACTCTATGATGGTGGTATTGGTCCTATTTAATTTAATATTCTATAAATTATAACCCTAATTATGTTAAATCAACTTTTTAAATTTGTAATTAACACTTCCAGTTAATTTGTAAATTAACTGTACCACTATATATAATGAGGTTGCTTTTTTATTATATAGTGGTACTGTTAATTTACAAATTAACTGGTAGTGTTAATTACAAATTTAAAAAGTTGATTTAACATAATTAGGGTTATAATTTATAGAATATTAAATTAAATAGGACCAATATCACCATCATAGAGTGTATAATTACATCAAAATATAAAATTAATGGTGTTTATCTTATAGATGGCTTACTGGCCGAAACGTAGCTATGTAAATTGAAGAAATAAAACACAGCCTTATTTTATAATATTTAAGCCGTGATTGATTTCTCATTCCTATAGGGTTCACCTTTTGTGATAATTGTGTGATAATAATTTTGTGAATTTCCTTGTAAATTCGCCACAATCATGCCATTTGCCAAACATAGGTCCAAAATCCTTTCTCCATTGTCATTCCTACAATTCTCTCCGTGTGTTCCTATCACTCCGTGCCATCCTTTCATGTCTCTAATGACTCTACCATTGAGATTGCCCATAATGATAGGGGTTCCTTTGCTATCATCCAGTATCAATATAATAATGTGTATTCTCTGTGCTCTAATTTTAGTTGCAGTGTCATACAATACCTTTTGCCTGTTTCTGATAATGGATTTCTGAGTACAGTAGGACATATCCTCCAATTTGCTTCTTTCCTTTTCCCTTCTTTTTTTGTCTCTGTAAGGCCTATGAAGTGTATTCATGCTTTCTTTATTCTTCGGTCAAGTCCATCTCCTTTCCTCTGATACCCTTGACGTTCCATGTTCCTACTGTAATATACCTTTTTCTGCACTTGGTCTTGCTCCACAATAAACTATCGACTCTATTTCTTTCTGGAGTTTTTATATTTTTAAATCTTGAGTAGATAGGTTATGAGCCTTTCGTACCCTTTTTAGAGTTTTCAGGCCAACTCTCCTGGAGGAATATGAAATATAAAATTAAAAAAAGTTAACAAGATTTTATATATATAGTTAAATATAAATCTCTGTCCAAAACAATATATAGGAGAAACATTGCAAAAAATTAAAGGAAAAAAGAAACATCAAAATAACATACAGCAAGTATTAAAGATCATACTAGTAACAGTCTTAGCAAATCATTGTATAACAATCATAAATTAGATTTTTACAATTTGTAGATATTAAATAATTCAGGGAACAATAAAGTAAGAAAAAACATAGAATCCATAAACATAACCAAAACTATAAACAATATAGTAAATTTTTGATAAGATTTTAAAATTATTGATCAGTATTATGCATATATAACTTAATGAGATTAACATTTAATTATTATAATAGATTATAAATTAAAAACTATAACAAACTGTATCTTAAATCTTAGACCGTCATATAAAAAAAATCTGAGAAACTCAAATAAGTCAAAATGCAGTGGCATAATCCTAAAATGGATATCATTTTCCAAAAGTACGTCTCCAAAAACATATAAATAGACCTTCATATGAAATAAATCTGAAAAACTCAAATAAGTCAAAATGCAGTGTCGTAATCGTAATATGGATATCATTTTCAAAAAGTACGGCTCCAAAAACATATAAATAGACTCTGATATGAAAGAAATCCGACCAACTCAAACAAGTCGCAACAAAGTGGCATAATCTCAAAATGGACATCATTTTCAAATATTACAGCTCCAAAAACATATAAATAGACCCTGATATGAAAGAAATCCAAAAAAAACTTAAATAAGTTAAAACGCAGTAGTGTAATCCTAAAATAGAGACCAATTTCAAAAACTGTGGCCTCTAAAACAGACCTAGATATCAAAGTAAATGTAAAAATTATTCGAATCGTATTTTTATCTTAAATAACGAATAATAGATAATAGATAATGCATATTATCTGTAAATAACAAATAATTATCTGTCCAAACGTCATCAAATAAGAATAATGAATAAATATGTTATCTATTATTCCTTATCTAGATAAAATTTCAAATAATTTATTCGAATAACATCCAACACTGCCTGGAGAGCACAAATGAGCTCCTGTCTTAATTATTGTAGAGACCTTCCACCTTTTTATTTATCAGCTAACACATTGATTTGATTCTGTATTGAAGTATATTATGGAGTAAAATATTCCTAAAATTTGCCCTTATTTCCTTTTCATCTGTGTTACCAATGTTGGTGGTATCAGTTAATGTGGCTTGGCTTGCACCATCCCTATATCTTATAGGAAAAATACATAATCAAAGTTTTAAATTTTTATTAGGCGCAGCTGCAATGTTAATTATTTTATTTCCTCAAAGCTGGTCAAAGCTATTGGATGTAAACCAAACATTGGCCTTTCATGGAAATTATCTATTATTGATAATCTAATTTCAGATAACCTATGTTGAATAGTGTTACTTTATAAAATATGTATTTTAGTTCTTAATTTACTTTTCAATTGCTGTAAATAGATAAGAGAAAATACATGAAAATGTTTATTGCTTTGTACAATTTTTAATTCATGGTGTTATTATTTTCAACAACTTCATATAAATTATACTTCTTTATGAGAAGCAAATGATAAGTCCTTTTATTATTCTCTGAACCCTGCAATAGTTCATAATATTTCTTTTTTAATATTTCTAAACCAAAACGTTTATTCATAGTTAAATAAATCTTACTTACAATTATTATGAATTTAATTTTAGGTATATTCTCATCTCCAAGGTAGATGGATTCATTGTGATCCATCTGAGGGTGTTGTTGACAAGCCTCTTATGTATGAATTAGGTTGGGGAAAGAAGCCTAAACTAATCATGTCTTTCAGCCCTACCATGGAAATACAAGATGTCACTTGGAGATATAGTCAAGATCATAAAGGAGTTCTTAGTAGGCGTGAAACAGATACTAATGCTTTGTTATTATATGTTGTTTCTAAACACAACAAGCTCGTGTAATAATTTTTTACAAGTATTGTTATGTACTTTAATGTTATCTTTTAAATATTACTTTGGAATAATATCATTTATAAGAACTCCATAATATTTGAATTAGGAGAAAAGTTTTATTCTATGTGAAATAGGAAATTTTAGTACCTCTGGTATTTCTATTTTAATTTGGTTATTTAGTTGTTTATAGGCTATTAGATGAGAAAACATTGTTTTATAGGCTGTTCAAGAGACTCTTAAAAATATATTATTTTTTCTCTGGTTTCGCTAGTATATCAAATGTATTAGGAAGAAGAAGGATAAATATATAATGTGAGAGTTCTAGCACAGGTATAATAGTCTTGATGTTTAATTTTTTCCTGTTAAAGTAAAATTTTTTCTATCAATTTTATACTTTTTCCTACAATTTGAATACTTTTCAAATGTGGAGTAGGCATCATTTATTACTGTCTGAATGTATGAATTTGCTTGAATAAATGACAATGATTATTGAAAGAATCATGATTTCGTTGAAAAGTTGATAATGCAGCGAATCTCTGGTAACAGGTGTTAAATTCAGAATATGTGTTTAAAAAAAACAATGAAAATACTGACTACAATATTAAAAGCCAAGTGAGGGACAGGCTATGCTACAAAAGAAACATTATAAGCTTCTTTAGACCTCATTAATTGCAGTAGGTAGCCTGGGGGCAGTATATTTTCCCGTTATCTGAATTATTAACCTTGTTCAACTCCTCATGAGTGATGAAAGAAGTACAAACCAAGGATCTTACTCTTCTTCACGGACCCAATAGTTTTCAGCAAGTACAATATTGGTTTAGTATAAGTTAACAAATAATTGAGTGTAATTGTGTAATTGTTCAACTATAGGTATATTTTCCGGTAGGCTTAGGTAATTATTTATAAAGTAATCTATTATTTCAACATAGTCATTATAAAGTATCTAGCTTCATTATTAATGTTTGCTGAATAGAATTTCTTGATAATTATATGTAATTTATCAAAATAAAAATGTATCTTCGCTGATACTTCAAATGTATTAGAGAGAAGAAGAATAAATATGTAACATGAGAATTCTGGCACAGGAATACTAGTTGATGTTTAGTTTTTTCTTTGCAAACTAATTTCTTTTTCTACCAATTTTATACTTTTTTCTTCAATTTCACTTTCAAATGTGAAGTGACCATCATTTATTACTGTCTGAAGATATGGAATTTTAGTGAAAAAATGACAATGTTATTGATAAAAACAGGATTTCATTGAAAAATTGTTAATGCAGTGAACCTCTCATAACAGGTGATAATTTTAGAATCATATCACTTATTGCAGCTACTTTGGTATATCATCATTCCGTTGTATTCATTTGGGAGTTTATCTTGCTTCCCAAGTAGATAAAGTTATTGACCACCTGGAATCTCTACTGTACTACCTCAAAGTACTCCTCGTGGTTTCCTAGCCCTCCAACCTGCATATCCCTAGTTTTTTGCTGGTTTACTTTTAATCCAACATTTTTCACTGCTTCCGTGAGGGTGAGAAATGCTTCCCTTAGGACTCGTTTGGATCTGACCATTATGTCAAAGTCGTCAGCATAACCCAGCAGCTGCTCCAGTCTGTTAATTAAGGTCCCACCAACCTGAATACCTGATCTCCTGACAGCTCCTTCTGCGGCTAGGTTAAAGAGCAGGAATGCGAGTGCATCTCTCTGCCTCACTCCATTAGCTGAGTAGAACTCCTCTGAAACATCGGCTCCAATACGTACTATGCACATCGAATTCCACGTGGTCATTTTTACCAGTTGCTTCAGCTTTTTAGGTATTCCCATTTCCTCAAGGATCTCGTAGATATACTTGTATACTGTCGTACGTGGCCTTGAATTCGATAAAGAGATGGTGGATCCTGGTCTGGTGCTCCTTACACTTCTCAAGTGTCATTCTCAATGACAAAAGCTGGTCGATGGTTGATCTACCTCTTCTAAATCCTGCCTGGTAATTCTCTAATTGTCATTCTTCAAAAGGTGACAGCTGTTCAAAGAGGATGCTTGATACGATATTTTATGCACATTGCAGGAGTGCGATTCCTCGATAGTTTCCGTAGTTGGATTGATCTCCCTTCTTGTATATCAGGCATATTACAGCTTTCGCCCAGTCCTCCGGCATCGGTTCCTGCTCCCAGATCGTTACCATCATGTTGTGGAGTTCCTTTCTTAGCTAATCCCCGCGGTATTTCAAGAGTTCTGGCTGGATCCCATCAATCCCAGTTCCTTTGTTATTCCTTAGTTTTCTGATGGCTTCCTCTATCTCATCTTCGTCGGGGGAGGGGGGCTTAAAGTCATCAATGAGAGTTTGCTCCTCTTCTTGAAGGCTTGCATTAGAATTGTCTGCTCTGTTAAGTGCCTCTCTGAAGTGCTGTTTCTATCTTCTGAGTACATCCTCTGTTTCTGTGAGGAGGTGACCAGCCTCGATGTCAAAACAAACCGATATCTCCCAAGAAATTAAGGGTAGGATAATAACCGCTAACAGGTGCTATTACAGCATATAAAAAAAAAAACTCCAGGAGTGGATATCTTTCAAGGAAGACAAAAATCAGCCTGTACAAAACTATAGTCCGTCCAGTATTAATTTGTGGGTCAGAGGCATGGGTCATTAAAAAGGCAGATGAGATAGGGCTCTTGGTGTTCGAAAGGGGAATATTGAGGGTGATATATGGACCCATCAAAGTGAAATATGGAGAAGAAGAAAGAACCTGGAATTATATGGGCTCTTTAAAGATGGCTAGATCTCCAAAGTCATAAAACTGGGAAGACTTCGATATGTTGGCCATCTAGCGAGAATGGATAATACTGTGATTCCGAAGAAAGTGGTCACAGAGGAGATCTTAGAGACGAGGTGAGTGGGATGACTGAATATAGATGGATGGATGGCGTGACTGAAGATGCTAGGACTCTTGTAGGCTTGCAGGACTGGAGGACTGCTACACAGGATAGGGTCAACTGGCGGAGGCTATTTGAGGTGGCCTGGACTCGTTGACGAGTTGTTGTGCCGTTGAGTGTGTATATTCTGCTTATTACACATTAGGTTGTTCAGAAGGACATAACTACTGAAAGGATTCTGAATCATTTACTTCCTACATTAAATGAATGGATGCATTACCTTTACTTAAAATTAAATTGTTAAATTTTATTGGATTAAGTTTCTTGGATAGCATTTTTAGATAGGTCATAACACATTTGTATGATTTTCTCTAGCAATTACTAAACAATATACAACATATATTTTTTTCATAACCAAAACAAGAGAGAAAGATCATAATTACTACTGGTTATCACCACAACTATTTTGTTGTTTAATGGACACCCTAATAGAGCAGAAAAGAAAAATCATGGCAGCTTAGAAAAATCAAAATTTATTCCATGGATTTACTATAAAATAAAATTGTTTTATTAACCTTTTTTGTGCGAATTATAAAACGTTTGCTGTATATTTTTACAAATTAATAAATGTTAATAAAACATACTTTAAAATATGTATATTGGATCTAATATTACAATTTTTGTCAAATAATTATGTTAACTCTGTAAACTAAATTCTTAGTAATACTTTTAATTCAATTTTAAAAATTCTCAATTTTATATTTGATCATTAAAACCTTAAGGATCAATTTTCCAAGTGTGCAGTTCAAAAGTTACACGCAAGCTGTGTCATTTTTTTTTTCTTCTTTTAAGTATTTAAAAATTATGTATACAAGTTGGATTTTATTTTCTTATACATAGTAGTTATTATTGCCCATAGATACTTTTTAAGGTTGAGATTTGAGGATTAGAATAGGGCTGTGTTGAGAAAGCAAAGGTACTAGGGATAATTTTCCTGGTCCTTGTCATATATTAAATTTACAAATAAAACCCAACTGAAGAGTTTTATAAAGCATGAAAAAAACAAATTATATAAAGATTCTACGTAATTATTATATAATATAGGGGATATTATTTATATTTTATATTAATATAAATTTAAAAGTTAAAAAATGGAACCTCTATTTTTTTACAATGAAAGGAAGGAAAAAGGAAGAAAAAAAGAAAAAAGAAAAGAAAAATGTATATATATATATATATATATATATATATATATCTATCTATTTTACTAATATTAACTAATACTTCTGTATATTTATATATAAGTTCATATATTGTCTTAAGGATAGAAGAGTATGCTGTGTATATAGCAACCCAATATAATTGAGCAGCAATCCTTTATATTTTATGAAAATAAAGTGTTTCTCTCCCTAGCTGTCCTTTCCATTTTGTCGGGGCGGACTAGAATACTATATGAGTAGCTTAATCTTGAATTGTACAAAATATTGGATACAAGTCATTAGTTTTTTATTCAGTTCATCGGTTAGTAAAATTTTTAATTTAGAAGAAGTACTTAAAGTATTTTTTGCCATTTAGAATTGACAACTGCTCTTCTCTAAAGAGGCGCTATATTTTCAAAAGAATGATTGGAGAATATGCAGAATTTTTGACTGAACCAAAACCTACAGAGGTATACTCTGGTCGTGTTTCTGGATCTCTTGAATGGCGTGAACAGAGGGGAGAAGTTGAAGTTCCAATTTTTCAAACTGATTATATTTTTAAATTACATAAGACTGAAATAAAGGTAAATTTTCTCTCTCTACTTCATTGAATCTATAGATTGATGTATAAACTTTATGCTTTTTTGAATCATAATTAAATAAATGTATGTTCGATTATTTACACATATTTCTTTTTTTATTATAGGATCAGCCAAAATATTATTGTATGTGGTATAGTGCCAATTGTGATACTTACTTATTTTACTGCGATGGAGGAAACAGTCATTTTCGAAAAGGTTGGAAAAGTTGTACATATTCATTTAAAAATATGCTTAGAAAAGAAGAACTAGATTGGAACCAGTCTTATTTGGCCCGTGAAAGTAAGATCAATAATCAGATGAAATATATTGAATGTTTTTTTTTTTTTCAAATGAAGCTTATTATAACTTAAGCTAAGATTAACTAAGATTATTGATGAATAAAAATTGTTATCTTTTTACCTATTTACTAAATTTTTTATGATAAAATACTTTTTTGTTAATTTTTTTTTATTTAATCAAGTAATTTTTAGTTTTGTTCATACTTATAATCAGCTTTCCCTTGCAATTTAATTTTCAAACATTTATTAATCATACTATGAATTTATTTCATTAAAATAGATATTTCATATCAATGTATTATTTTAATTTCAGCAGGAGCAAAATCCGGTGGAATTGTGTGGAAATTTGATATCAGTGATACAAATTTAAGCATTACTGGAATTTGTGTGAAAATTAATGCTTTTTATATCGAAAGTGGTTTTGTTGAATTTAAAGCATATAATAATCAAAATAATATTTCATTTAAAAATGGTATGTTTATGAATTTCATTAACAGAAATATTTATTAGTTGAATTAATTAACTTTATTTATTTTCATAGATGTGTGATTTATATTGTGAACTGTTTAAAATTTACCAAGCAATGCTCAGTATACACCTATGCATTAATGAAAAATTAATCATAAAATTTGATTTATTAGACTTATTTTAAAACCTTTAAACAAAATAAAATGGGTGAATTTAATGAAAATTATAAATATGAAAAGTATGCTTTGATGGCTATCGGGAAAGAATCCTCAAGATGGGATTCATTTTTTCATACTCAGTTCCATTGAAAATAATCTATTTTACTGGCTAGAGTTAAAAACTCAGTGAAAAGGTTTATTATTTTTCAGATATTTGGAATTCAAATTTGTTATAATTTTTTCCTAAATCATTCAACTTTAAGATGAATAAAAAAATCCCATACCTAAAATATCCCTGGAATGTATTTTGTTTTATAAAATTTATTTTAAAATGAAAAAATTTAATAAAAGCTTTTTTTTCATTTTAAGATTAGACTCTCAGTAACTATTCAAGGTGTCAATAATTGTCTAGTTTATCCTACCATTGGATAAGTGTGGCAAACGTTAAACTATATTTAGAGCAGTTACTTACATCATTCATTCTGTTAGTGAAGAAAGTGTATCAATAAAAGGGCCATGTTAGACGAATCTTCTCTGTAAGTGGCCAAAAATAGTTGACTGAGTTCAGTCAGTTAACTTCTGGTGTCATTGAAAAAAGATGCATTGCTTTAAAAAGTTTCTTCCTTAACTTCAGATCAATTTTTCATCCTCTATTTTTTTTTTTTTTTTTTTCCCTCATAACCATGATATATTATATTATGAAATCAGATATTTTAATATCTGAAAATAAAAATAATTCCTTGATCCAGATTAATTTATCATGCCATTTTAACTGTGTCAATGGAACTTTTTTTAAAAATAAAAACTTAAAGAACTTTTTTTGTAATAAAGTTCTGGGTTTATTGTTAAAGATTAACTTTTATTTATCTAAGTATTTACTTTTAAAAAATTATTATTAAAGAGAAATACACAATAATTGGGCTTAGATTTCAGATATAATTTATCTCCAATGAATTGTTTTATTCTTATATTAAGAATGTATAGCACTATTTTTTAAATTTACTTTTTGGTGATGCCCTTCAATGTGGCAGAATTGAATGTTAATTTATTCAATTAATAAAGTAAAAATAAAAAACTTTAGGTGAAATTAATCACTTAATAGAACTTTTATAATTAAAAAATAAATAAATAAAAGTTCTATGAATACTTTGAATGAAAATTTCCATGGACAAATTTTCTAGTACCAATATAAAAATAAATAAATAAAAGTTCTAGTCGCACCAGAACTGATTAAAAATTTAACTTTTCATTTCAAACTGTAGTTAAAATCCATTAAGAAACTATATGCTTCTTGAAAAAGCCTACTAATTTATTACGTAGAGCTCTTTTTTAGTACTCATGATTAAGCTTGAACCAACCTTGAAAGGCTTTTAGGAAGACTTTATTTTAAACTCAATCTCCTACATTCTCCAACTTGTTTATATACTGGGTGTCCCAGGCAGAAACATTAGTCATTGAGGTGGGAAATAGTCTACCAAAAATGTTGTCCAATGTCAACAATCCTCTCATTCGTATATCTTATCTGTTGTCGAGATGTAACATTTTAAAAGTATTTCAAAGAAATCAACTGTTTTTTCTGAAATAAGTCCTAATTTCTGTAATTTGTGAATATATCTCAACTTTTTTTCACCATTTTCTGAATCAACAATAAATTTACTTGGAATATATCGCTTTGTCAGGATATTCCAACTACCAAAGTAATGAAAAAGTAAAAACAAATAATTTTCATAAATGCTCGACCGGAAGTCGTGCAATAAATTTTAGAGTCATAACGTTTGAAATTTCAAGAAAGTGACTCCATTTCATCCAACAGTAATACAGTACCTTTGCAAGATTAAACAAGTATATATTACCCAAATCATGCTTAGCACCAACTTAAGGGTTTTTATAACATATGATGTTAACATATGATAAATAAATGCTCAAGTTGTAGCTACATAAAAAATTATAATTCCTTGTGACTGGTAACAAAACATTGTTCCCTGAAAAAATGACTCATCACTTTTTTAAAATATTTAAAGTGGCTTTTTAGAAAATTTAAATAATCTGCGAAAAAATGGTAGACTGCTTTAAAGGACTATCCATTGCAGATAAAACTCCAATTATGGTGTAATTAAGCAAAATACTGAATGATACTGACCGAAAAAACTAACTCAAAAGTCAAATTTGTTATTCCACCATCTTTGGCCCCTGTTTTGGGGCAGTATCATCAGTTTGTTTTCTGGGCACATGTTTTTTTTTTTTTAGGGATGGGGTGAGGGGATCACAGCAGTAGAGGAGCCCGGCCTCATCTGGCCAAAAGAAATATGTTAGGCACAGCTCATTACAACATGGTTCTTTGTGTTCCTTGGAATCTCAAGTATACAAGTTACTTGATAGTTCTTGTGCCATATTTTTTCTACATATTTATATTCAGCTCCTGTAATGGGATTAGAAGAACTTAGGTTTTCATGGGGGGAAACTTTGTTTTCTTGAAACTCACTTTCAAATATCAAATTTCAAGAATGGATTGAGTCAGAAACATATGGTTGGCAGCATTGAATTGCTTTTTTGGTAGTTTATCTTCCTCTCAATAACTGATGTTTCCTCCTGGGACACTCTGTATGTACATATATGCCACTGAAACAATTGAAGTGTTTTTATTTTGTTTGTTTTAAAAATATATTATTCCATAACATGAAATATTTTTCAGGGGCTGAAGTTAACTGTTTACGACTTTCTCCTGAAAAATCATTAACTGTTGAAGTAATTTTAAATGGAGGATGTGGGAATATCTCATGGCAACAGGCCCAGATTGCACGCCAATCAAAGAGTGAAGGTCCTGCTGTCAGTTTTGGGGTAGTTTTATTTATCAGTTAAGAAAAATGGTAACATTTCATATGCAACTCATGTGCAGCTTTTCAATGATTATAAAGTCTGTGTAATTTAATTATGATTTGTTTTACCAAGATCTTGGGGTGAGTAAAAAAAAAAAATAAAAAAAATTACCGTTTCAATGGTTAAAATGAAGTTTTTTCTTACAACAATTTCTTTTAACTTTCAAAGTATAGTCTCACACCACAGATCTAACCTTATTGGATTTAGAGTCTACAGGGGCGCAAACGTTGACTCCGATCATTTCTTAAGCATCGCCAGGATCTGCCCACGAATATCAATGAAAAGGCGTGTAGCAGCTGGTCCGACCCAACAGAAATATGACGTCTCCAAACTAAAAAACACGGAACAGTGCACAACATACCGGCAGCACTTGGAAGTTAAACTCGCGGAGGAGCTGAGAGAGAGAGCAGAAACATTAGATGGCCAATGGCCAGGAATAGCCGAAGCTCTCAAAGATACTGCGAAGAAGACGCTCGGACCTCAAACAAGGAATGGCCAGAAGAAGAAGCCAGCCAGATCTCCATAACAGAAGACCTCCCAAACGATGCTGAACCACCAGACGAGGATGAACTCGAGGTGGCTGTTGTGAAGCTGAAGAATAACAAAGCCCCGGGACTAGATGGCATATAAGCGGAGATGATTCGCTACGTTGGCGAGGGACTTATGAAGGAACTCCACAACCTCATCCTTACAATATGGGAAGAAGAAAGGATGCCACAAGTTTGGAGACAAGAAGTTATTTGTCCACTTCACAAGAAGGGCGACCAAACGGAGTGTGGCAATTACAGGGGTATCGTCCTCCTTTTGTGTGCCTACAAAGTGTTTTCAAACATCCTCTTCGAGAGACTCACCCCCATGCTGAAAGGGAGATAGGTAATTACCAGGCGGGATTAAGAAGGGGTAGATCAACCACAGACCAGATCTTCTTACTGAGAATGATTCTGGAAAAATCCAATTAACACAGGATGGTTACGCATCACCTCTTTCTGGATTTCAAGTCTGCATACGATAGCGTAACCCGACCCGAGCTTTACCAGGCGCTGGAAGAAATGGACATACCCAGGAAACTGATTCATCTGGTGAAGATGACCATGTTGGAGTCGAACAGCATAGTTCGTATCGGATCTGACTTCTCTGAACCTATTGCCACAAACTGCGGTGTGAGACAGGGATACTCCCTTGAGTGCCTTCTCTTTAATTTGGTGGTGGAGCGAGCGGTGTGTAGATTGGGAATCCAAAGACTAGACACCCTATTCAACAGTACGTTCCAGTTACTAGGGTACGCAGATGACTTCGACATAGCAGCTAGATCGGAGCATGCCCTAAGAGAAGCGTTCTTAGCTCTAGAACAAGAAGTGAAAATTCTTGGCTTGGTCATCAATGAAGCCAAGACAAAGTAGTTAAGAATAGGACCACTGAGGCGGGGACAGGTTTCTTCGAAGTTGGACCATACAGATTTGAGAGGGTGCGAAGTTTCGTATCCCTGGGTTCAGAAATAAACTCCCAAAACAATCTATCCCAGGAGATCAACCGGAGAACTGCTGCAGCCAATCGAAGCTATTTTGGGCTAGTAAGGTACTTCAAGAGAAGACTCCTCTCCAACAAGACCAAGATTGGCCTATATAAAATCCTGATTCGTCTGGTTCTTATGTATGGGTCAGAGACCTGGGCCCTCCTTGGGTGAGAACCTCCTTCTAGTGTTTGAATGGAAGATGTTGAGAAGTATTTTCGGACCAGTTCGAGAGGGTAACATTCCCTCGGAAAAGGAGGAAGAACCAGGAACAATTAAGGCTGTACAGAAACCCTGATATCATCAATTATATTAAGATTGGAATACTTCAATCCTGGTGGGCCACGTGGTGAGGATGAAGGAAGGCATTGGCTGAAGAGCTTCATGGCAGGCGAAGAGTGGGTAGGCCAAATGTGATGTGGGCTGACTCAGTCACAGCGGACGCACACAATCTCCTCTGCGTAAGGAACTGGAGAGCTGCAGCAACAGACAGGGCCAACTGGCGGAGACTTTTGGAGAAGGCCTAGACCCATTAACAGATTGTTAGTTGTCACCTAGTAGCCAGCTGTTCAATTCGCTGTCAGTACCACTCTTTCAGTTATGAATAGAAAAAGTCTTCTCCAATTTTTACCTTCTCAAATGTTTGAAACGTTTTCCCTTAAGAAAAGCAACCATTGCTCGGAAAATATAAATGTCCAAAGGTGCAAGGGTGGTGCGGTAAAAGTTTCATGGCACCCAATTTAGTAAGTTTTTGCTTCATTTGTTGAGAAGTGTGCAACCAGGCATTGTCCTGCTGTAGCAAAACATTCTTCCTGTTCACTAAAGCCGGGGATCACATCTCCAAAACTTCGTGCATTGCATCTTTTCCAAATAAAACTCAGAATTAACAGAACATGCTTCTGGAACAAACTCCTATAAAAATTAAGTAAAAATATAGTATAGAGAATAAAAACAGATTTGTCAAATGCAGCAGTTCCAGAAGGAGGGGAGGGAGTGCAAGTCAGAAGAACGAGGCAGATGGGATAGGATTGAATGGAAGATTTAAATTGCCGGATCTACAATATGTAGGATGGGTGCTTGGTACTGGAAGAAAACACAAAAATATTGACACCTGGAGGACGGGAAGAACTGCTAAATAATAATAAGTTATTTTTTCTGGGACTTGCCTCTTTAGAAGAGTAGTACACAAAGACAGAAATGTGAGCTTTGGAGTCTCAGAAATATCTAAAAATCTACAAACTAAACAAATAATTATAATAAAAAAAGTATAAGTTCCCGTCTAATTTTAATCGATTTTGAAAAAAGAAATGAAATGTGGAATTATTTGAATATCTTACCTCATCATACAACATCATTGTGATTGAATGCCAAATAAGTACTGTACCTCAAAGATACATTATTTTTACAAAATGATTCAATATAGTATTAGAATTACAAAGATACTTGTAACAACCACATTGAAATTAAAAGAGTGAGAAAGAAATAAACACTGACTAATTAAAAACAGAAAATATTTTTTACTCACCCCAATAGTAAGTGTGATAAACATTCACATGCTGAAATAAAATTTATCATGAAAAAAAAAAATGGATTAGTTGTTTATAAAAGCGAGAAACGTCATTTTTAATGAAATAATTTTAAACTTAATTTAATTTAAAATTATTATTTTATTTTAATATTCTTTTTATTAAACATTGTTAAATTTAGTAGTAAGACTAAATAAATTCTTTCAGTTGTTTATCTGTTTATTTTTTTTTTGCCCTTATTCTGTTTTTGTATTATTGAAATATGAATCTATTTGCTGTATATAGAGAAGTAATAAATTTAATTAATTAATTTAGTATTGTAATGAATTTATTTCTGTTTTTGTATTTTAAAATTTCAGTAATTACTTAGTTCATTTGTGCATAATATAACACTCAAGTTATTATTATTTACTATTAATTTCATAACTATTCTGAAGAAAAATGCTTGATATCCAGGTCAATCAGTCCTCAAATTGCTTATTATAAGAAAAACTTCCAAAATTTTGAAACTTGGCATATTTGTACTTTCATGTGTTCTGTAAAACATACTAAGAGTCCTCTTTGGTGGGAGCGAGTGTTAGGGGGAAATTAATTTAAAGTTTTTTTTACAGTTTTTCATAAATATCTCAGTAAATATTGAATTTAATGAAAAAAATCTCCTGTAATAAATTAAAGTAGAGTAAGTTCTCTTCATAAAATGTCCTATTTACCTTTTCCTTATTGATTATGGATTTAGAGATAGAGTTGAAGGAAATTTTTTAAAAATATGAGTTTTAGGCGTAATATGAATGATCACAGGTACAAATAATTTTATATTCCTATTATTCAAATACAAGATGCACAATATTTAAGTTATAAATTGTTTAGATATTACATAGAATAAAAGAGTGTGCTTTAAAATCACAAGATAGATAAATTGGTTTGTGTGGGGAAAAATATACAATAAAATATCTTGGTTTTATTGTACAATTAAATTAACAGAACTAGCATAGAAAATTATCTTCAAAAAAGGTTTTAATAATTTCTTTTGTTATTGTCTGCAGTTTAGGAGATGTGTGAGGGGTAAAAGAAAACAACAATGTTTTTTTTTAGCTTATTTTATTTAACTATTTAAATATAAAATACATACAGTAAACTTCCATTCAGTTTTGTATTTTATATCTATGGGCATCTTTGAATAACTCCATTTTCTTCAACTGAATCTATATTCAAGTTCTCATTATCCAACAGTAGCGAATTGAGGATTTAATTTTAGAGGTGCCTTAGTTTTTTTTTTTTTTTTTTTTTTGTAATAACGGTAATTAATCTGGAAGAAATATAAAGAAACTATACAAAATAATGTTAAGCTGTCCTAGAAGAAGGTCTGTAAAAACAAAGAAGACAAAAAAGGGATATATTTTAATTTAGGGATACATTATTTTCTTGACATGTGCTTACACTTAGTAGCTGAAATAAATGCGTTATAATTTAAAAAGAGTACTTATTATTATTGTTAAAGTAGTTTTTTTTTTGGGTCCTCCCCTTCCTCGCCGTTAAGGCTATACGGGGTTCTCCCGGGCCTGGGAGTGTGGGCGGGGATTTAAAAGACTCCCCCGGCACCGGGATGCGAACTCGGAACTATTTTTCATCATTGTCTCATATGTCAGGTTGCCCGGCAACGGCGGTGCTGTGCACACTCGTTAGCCCATTCGGCCACCCCGCCCACCTTGTTAAAGTAGTTAGATCACTCACAGAAACAAATATGTACTAATGAAAAAAAAATTATTTTTCCATTTTGGAGGAGAGGGCTTCATTCCAAAACTCCCCATGGGATCCGCTATTCCGTTATGGTGCATGATTTTTGGATGTGTGTGCAAACTGAGCTGCATCTCATACCAGATTTTCAACAGCCACTTTTCCTCTCACAAGTATTTCTGTATCTACAGATGTGCTTGAAACATAATGGGCATACTTATTGCGGGCTGAAAACGTTGATATAAAGTGCCACTTTCAGTTAATTAATTTTGGCAAAAAGTTTCTGTAATTTCAATGTGCATGCATCATTTTGCTAAACTTAGTTTTTTTGGACTCAGGGGACCTCAAAATGTTAATTTCCGTTAAAAATTCGGATTCCAAATTCTTTGCGTAATACTTTTTGCTTTCACTTACGTATATATGCAATATATAGTAAGGGTAAGTATTGCGATCGTGAAAATTTTCGAATCTCAGTTTTCAACGGAAATACATATTTTGAGGTCCCCTGAGTTCAAATAACCAAGTGTCGCAAAATGGTTTGTGTGTGCGTGTGTGTCTGTGTGTGTGTGTGTGTTAACAGTCTAGCTCATAAACGAAAAGTAGTACGAAACTGATATTAAGTATTTAAGGTTTGTATATGGGCCGGATGTGACAGCAACTTTTTCGTTAAAATCGGCTAACCGGAAGTGCCACTTTATATGAACGCTGAAACACATTTTTACAATTTTCTCAAAAACGACTCTAACGATTTTGATCAAACTCGGTGTATCATTGTATAATTAAGTGGTCTTTAAT